TATATATATATATATATATATACATATTTCAAACTAATTATAATATGCACTGTTACTGCTGCTCTGTCGCGTACACCTCAATATATATAACGAGCAAATACTGTCTGTCTCCTTTATTATAAATAAACAGTCTCTCTCTATATAACTGAAAGGGAGCAGCAGCAGCAGCAGCAACAGCAGCAGCAACAGCAGCAGTAGTGCTAGTAACAGCAGCAACACTAGCAGCAGCAACAGTAGCAGCAGCAACAGCAGCAGAAACAAACACTGGGTGTTGAACCCGTGCGAGAACAGCAGCAGTTCCTGTGTAGAGCATGCAGAGCATGCGGCTGTCTCCCTGCAGCAGCAGCTAGTGCTGCTGCAGCAGCAGCAGCTGCTGCTGAAATAACAACTGTTAAAATGTGTTTGTGCTGATGCTGCAGCTCCACAGGCAGCAGCAACAGCCAAGAGGAAGCAGCAGCAACAATAAGACACTGCAGCAAACCAACGAACCCCTGCACACCGCAGCAGCAGCAGCGCAGCAAACGGAGATCTGCAGCAGCAGCAGCAGCAGCAGCAGCTACAGCAGCAGCAGCAGCAGCAGCAGCATTAGAAGATAACTATTCATGCAATGTGATTTTAAAATAGAAATAATATTTAAATATATTTATTTATAACGAATAAAACCCCCAATTATACTGCAGCAAGAAGCAGCAGCAAACAACGCAGCAGCAGCAGCAGCAAGGGGCCCCCTCTGCTGCTTCCTCTCTCTGCGATTTTGTACATTTAAAAGCTGTCGTCTGTTGGGGTGTATAGGCAGCTTGCTGCTATCTTCTCTTCTTCTGCTGCACTGTCTCTGCACAAACACCCTTTAGTATCAATATAACCCCCCTGTCGCTCCAGCAGCAGCAGCAGCAGCAACAGCAACAGCAGCAACAGCAGCAACAGCAACATATGGATGCTCTTAGGGGACCTTCATTAATTTTAAAGCTGCTCAACTCTGCTCTCTCACTCAGGCAGACTCAGTAGACTGTCGCTCGTCAAGACGTAAAGAAACAGCAGCAGCAGCAGCAGCAGCAGCAGCAGCAACGGAAACAGAGCAAAAGCTGCAGCCACAGCAGCAGCAGCAGGACTGGTTTTTGCCTTAGCAGCAGATGGTCGCTGTGTGTGCATAGATTGCTGCCTGTTGGCGTTTCAGCAGCAACAGCAGCAGCAGCAGCAGCAACAGGGGGAGGAGGAGGAGGAGCAGCAGCAGCAGCAAGTGCTGCATGCGCTGCTGTTTAAGATGTCCCTTGCAGCGTTTGTTCGCCTTGCAAAGGGGCAGCAAAGCAGCGGCCTCTGTTTAGAAAATGCCTGCAGCAGCAACTGCAGCAGAGCGGGTCTCGGGTGCTGCTGCTGCTGCTGCTGCTGCTGCTGCTGCGGAGGCGGAAGCTTGCTGCAAGAATGGCAGCTTGTTTCGTCTGCAGCAGCAGGGAACTGCAGCAGCAGCTTCGAGTGACGCTGTAATCAAACAGACACCCGCAAATCCTGTGGGGCCAGCGAGCAGCAACTGCAGCAGCAGCGGCAGCATCAGCAGCAGCAGCAGCAGCAGCAGCAGCACGGGTCTCCACAGTCCCGAGCAGCAGCAGAGCCTATCGTTGCCCTCTCGTGCAGCAGCAGCATCAGCAGCAGAGGGCAGTGGTAGGGGCTTCGAATCTGGTGGTTTGCAGCAGCCACAGCAGCAGCAGTTGCAGCACCAGCACCAGCGGCAACAGCAGCAGCAGCAGCAGCAGCAGCAGCTGGATGTGGGGCCCGAGGTTTTGCTGCAGCGTTCTCTCAGTTTAGATAAAGCCTTATCGTTTAAGAAGGTTGATTTGCTGCGGAAGGCGCAGCAAGCAGCAATGCGCAGCGAAAACCCTCAGCTACACTCTCCAAGGACAGCAGCAGCAGCAGCAGCAGCAGCAGCAACAGCAGCAGGAGCTGCAGCAGCAACTGCAAGAGCATCGGGAGGAGTAAGTGAAGGAAGAGCTGCAGGAGCAGCTGTAGCAGCAGCAGCAGCTGCAGCAGCCGCAGCAGAGTCTGCTGCAGCAGCAGGCTTACCCCGGAAGCTGTTCCCTCCTCCCCAGCTAGATGCGCAGCTGCTGCAGCAGGAAGAAGGGCTGTCCAGCAGCAGCAGCAGCAGCAGCAGCAGCAGGGCTGAGGCGGAAAGCAGGGGGCAGTCTCCGAAGTATCTGCAGCAGAGCAGCAGCCCAAACAGCAACAGCAGCAGCAGCAGCAGCAGCAGCAGCAGCAGCAAACGCTCCCTAAGACAGTTTCGAGTGCATGCAGGGACGCCGACAGCACTGCAAGCACCGGAAGACAGAAGACCTAAAGCAAAGGCAGCTCGTCACAATGCTGCTGCTGCTGCTGCTGCTGCTGCTGC